CCTGCGTGAGAAGGTGACGCCCCTGGTGCAGGACTTCAAGGAGCGCCTCACCCCCTACACCGAGACCCTCAAGGCCCGTTTCATCTCCTTCCTGGACGAACTCCAGAAGAGCGTGGCCTGAGCCGCCAGCCAGTGCGGCCAGGGACTGACCCCAGCCCCGTAGCCGCCTCGGGGTGCTCCCTGCCCTGCCCTGGGTGCTTCCCCTCGGGGGGCTCTGGGGATGAGCTGCCAGAGCCCTGGACCATCTCAGCCCTGGGGTGTCCTCCCCAGAGACCCTCTCCTCTCCTCCCTACCCCCTCCCCTCCCCTCCTTGGCGTCACTCTCAGCTTTGCCTCCCTTTTGTCAAATAAACATGACTTAAGTTATTGGAGCTCGCTCAGTCCTTGCAGTGGATGCTGGAGGGCACAGCCTGAACTGGGGCTGGGGGCGAGGGATTCTCCAGGTTGAGGGTACTGGAGAAACCAAGAGGGAATGGGGGGACAGGGAGCTGGTGTTGGGGTGCCCTGGGCTCACCCTGTACTGAGCCCAGCTCTGCCCAGGGTGCAGCCAGGATTGGACTCACACAAAGGGCTCTGCAGGGCGCTGGGACTGGGTTTGCAGGACCTGGAGCCCCCTGGACTGTGGAAGCAGAACCCAGCTCCTGTCACCCTGGGCACCGTGACAGGGCCATGTGTGGCACCGGTGCCGGTGTCTGTCCCAGCCCTCCCTCTCTCCACAGCTCACACTCCTCCCCATCCCCACAGCGATGTCACCACAGCCATTTGCTTCAGCCCCACTTTATTGAGAACCACAACAGTGGGTGGGAGCCAGGGGGACCCCAGCCCAGTGGGACCCCAGGCAGTCCATGGTGGGGCTACATGGCCGGTGTCTTCTTCCAGAGCTCTGCCAGCTGCTCCTTGAGCCAGACCAGCCGCTGCTTCACCAGCTCCGTGTTGTCCGTCAGCCACTGCCTGCGAGGGGAGGGAGGGCAGGGGATCAGTGCGGGGCCCGGACGGGCTCCCCACTGGGACTGGGGGACAGGGACAGGTCCTGAGCTGGGGGCAGTCGGGGGCACCTGGCCTGCTGTGCTGCCTCTGACTCCCGCACCCTGCTGAAGGCGTCCTTGGCCATGGCCGAGGCTTTCTGGGCGAGCTCCTGCACCTTCTGCACCAGCGCCTTCGGCTCCTCGGGCGAGTCGGCCCCTGCGAGCAGGAATCGGTTGGGAGTGGGGGGACGGGGCCCCGGGGCTGTGCCCCCCCGGAGTGTGCCCCAGTTCCCTGAGCCCCGACGCCCTCCTCCCGCACAGCCCTCGCTGTCCCTTACTTGCTCCCACTGCCAGGACGGCCGTGCAGGCGAGCAGGAGCAGCAGCGACGCCCTCATGGCTGGGGAGAGAGCAGAGCACATGGTGGGGATGGCAGGGGGGGCCACAGGGGTCCCGACCCCGTCCCCTTCCCAGCACGACCCTCGCCAGGGGTGTCCCCACTCACCTGTGTCGGGCTCTGCGACGCGGGGGCAGCCCCGGGCTCCCCCTTTATACCCTCCCCACGGCCGCCCTTGAGGGGGTTTGTGCAAAGGTCAGGGCGGGGGGCTGGCCGGGAGCGGGGCACGGGGGGGGCTGCAGGGGGGCTGCATCCGGCCAGGAGTTGGGAAATCCCGCGGGGATGGAGCCTGCCGGGGCTCCGCGTGTGTCCGTGTGTGTGCACACACCTGTGCACACGTGTGTCTGTGCACACGTGTGTCTGTGCACATGTGTGTCTGTGCACACGCGTGTGCGCAGCCAGCCCGGTGCCCGCTGCAGGGCACAGCGCGGTGACTGCAGCGCTGGGGACACGCCTGGGGCCCTGGGCACACACGGCACAAGGGTGACATCCAGCGGCTCCGGCCCCGGGCACGACGCCCTCGGGCACCGCGAGAGCCCTTTGGACCTTGTCCCTGTCAGTGCCCGGCCGGTCCCTGCCCCTGCCCGCGGTGACACATCCCGGCTGCTCCGCAGCCCGAGCAGGGGCCCGGGGTGGGGGTGGGCTGAGCCGGGGGTGCAGGGCTGCACCCCAGGGGTGTGCCAAGGGCCCAGTGCCCACGGCCAGCGACACGCACGGCCCCCCCCATTCCCAGGCACACCAGCACCCATGGCTGCAGTTCCTGAGGGGTCCTGACCTGTTCCTCTGGCAGGGCTTCCTCCAGGAGCCTGGACTGGGAAGGAGCAGTGCCACTCTGCACATACACAGCCTTGTGAACCCCCAGCTCCATCACAGCATCACCCTGAGCCCGTGTCCTGCCCTGCTGCCCATCCCAGGCACAGCACAGCTGGTGGCAGGGCTGGGGAGTCCCCTCAGTGTCCCCCAGACCCCATGCCTTGTCCCACCACCACGCATCCCAGGTACCACCCCACATCCCGGGTACTGCACAGCTGGCACCAGCACAGCCACCACTGCATCCCACGGAGCAGTGAACTGTCCCCTCTGCCCAGGGTCCCCATCCTCAGGAGGGGCTCAGCCCTTGTGTGTCCCATGTGCCCCCAACCCCTCTCTGCCCTGGCACCTCACTGGGAGCTGGTGGGTTCACCGGGGCCACGGGTGATGTCAGGGCTGCAGGTGATGTCAGGGCTGCGCACACATCAGGTGCTTCCACGTCTCAGCTTTGCTAAAGTCCAAGCCCGGGCTGTGTCACAGCCTGCGTGGAAGCCACGGGGGTGCTCAGGCTGCATAAATAGTGCGGGGAGCTGCCGGCTCGGCAGGTACCACGGCCGTGGCAGCACAGGTGAGCAGCTGCAAGGGCTGGGGAGAGCCAGTGCCTCCATGGCCTGTGGTGGGGCAGGTGGCAGGGGGCTGGGGGGCTCCCGGCCTCTGGGGCTCCCTTCACCTCCTCTCTGTGCTCCCGCAGGAGTCCCCAGTGCTCAGGATGGCACCCAAGGTGGCAGCCCTTGTCCTGGTGCTCCTCGCAGTCTCAGGTGAGGTGACGTGTGGGTCCCTGGTGCTCGCAGGGGGGTCCCGCCCCAGGGCAGCAGTGGGGACCTGCTGTCCCTGGGGGAGTGGGATTGTCCTGGTGCTGATCCCACCATCCCCTTGCAGGGGCACGGGCTGATGTGAACCCCGACGAGGTGGCCAGTGTGATCTGGAAGTACTTCACGGAGCTGGGCAGCAATGCCAAGGAGACGGTGGACCAGCTGCAGCAGACTGAGCTCACCAAGCAGATCAAGTGAGCTGAGCCATGGGCTGAGGCTCGTGGGGGCTCAGGGGGCTCAGGGGGTGCCGGGGGCACACGGGCACTGACCTGTCCCTTCTCCCCAGTACCCTCCTGAAGACCAACCTGCAGAGTGTCAGCGCCTACGCCGAGGACCTGCAGCAGAAGCTGGTGCCCTTTGCCACCGAGCTGCAGGCGCGGCTGGCGCAGGACTCGCAGCGGCTGAAGGAGCAGATCCGGCGGGAGCTGGCGGAGCTGCAGGCCAAGCTGGCGCCCTACGCCGACGAGGTGCACCAGCAGATCGGCACCAACATCCGCCAGCTGCAGGCCAAGATGAGCCCCTACGCCGAGGAGCTGCGCTCCCAGGTGGACCGCGGGGCCGGGGAGCTGCAGCGGGTGCTGGAGCCCTACGCCACCGAGCTGCGGGACCGGCTGCAGGACAACGCCCAGAGCATCCAGGCCTCCCTCAGCCCCTACGCCGACCGGCTGCAGGAGCAGATCGACGGCGGCGTGGAGAGCCTGAAGGAGCGGCTGGTGCCCATGGCCGACGAGCTGAAGGCGCAGGTGGGGCAGAGCGTGGCGGAGCTGCGGCGCGGGCTCAGCCCCTACGCCCAGGAGGTGCAGGACGGGCTCAACCGGCAGCTGGAGAGCCTGACGGCGCAGATGGAGCGGGCGGCCGAGGAGCTGCGCGCCCGCCTGGCCACCAGCTCCGAGGAGCTGCGTGCCCAGCTGAGCCCGCTGGCGCGGGAGCTGCGGGAGGCGGCGAGCGGCGACGCCGAAAGCCTGAGGCAGCGCCTGGCCCCCCTGGCCCAGCAGCTGGACCAGCGGGTGGGGCAGACGCTGGAGGCCTTCCGGCAGCAGGCGGCTCCCTTTGGAGAGGCCTTCGGGAAGCAGCTGGTGCAGCAGCTGGAGGAGATGCGCGGGAAGCTGGAGTCGGGTACCGCTGGAGTGGAGGATCACCTGCAGCTGCTGGAGAAGGAGGTGCGGGAGAAGGTGTCCGCCTTCCTCAGCACCATCCCGCCCCCCGAGAATTGAGTCCCCCCCGGTGCCACGGGGAGGTGACACGGGCTGGCCAGCCGTCCCCACACACTCCGAGCATTCCCAGCCTCTGCCCGCAGCAGAAATAAACCTTGTGATGCACATGTTGGTCTGTGTCCTTCCTTCCCCACAGTATCCTCCTGTCCTGCCCCAGGACGGGCAACCTGGGCAACCTGGTCCAGCTGCTCTGAGGGGGGACCATCACCCTGAATGTTCTGGGGAACCTGGGAGAGGGCACAAAGGTGGGGGCAGGTGGGTGAGGGGTTCAGTGCTGGCTGGAGGTGGTGGCAGCCAGGTGAGCCCAAGGGCCAGCACGGGACCAGGGCCCCGACATCACCTCACTGGGGTGCCACAGCAGCCCAGGGGGCTCCAGAGGGGCAGAGCCCCGGGATGTAGCTGTGCATCCCCACTGTGCCGCGGAGGACGGGATTCTGCGGGCCGTGCTTCAGGGAGAGGAAAAGGGAACTGACTGAGCGATGGTCTCAGCGAGCCCCTCGAGCCGTTCTGCTGGCGGGATGGGAAGGGAAGGGCTGGGATGAGACTGGAGAACGGCCAGCGCTGCCTGGAGCGACCTCACGCGTTGGCACAGGCGAGGGAGCCGCGCGGACTTCGGTGCCGGAACAGCGCCGGCGACTGCTCGGCGTTTCACCCCGGGAGCGCCGGACTTCGCCCCCCACCCAGGGTGCCCGTTTGTATTCCCGGGGGAAAAAAGCCGAGCACGGCGGGCTGGGTATCCGGCGGGAGCGGGCAGCCCCAGGAAAGGTGTGCTCTGTGCTCCCTGTCTGGGCTGCTGACACCGCTCATGCCACCCTTCCCTGGCAGCCGGTGCCGGGCTCACCCTCCCGAACCCATCCCGGGGGTCCAGGCTCCCTTTCCACCCCCTCGGCCTCTGCGACAGGAGGTGCAGCCGGCGGCCCCATCCCCACCGCCCCGGCGGTTCCATCCAGCATTCCCTCTGGGATGTGAAGGTCGGCTTCGGGGCAGGGTCAGCGAGCGCGGGGGGCAGCGGGCGGTCAGGTGACCGTCCCCCAGGTCACCTCCCAGGAACGGGCACGGACCTCCACGTTGTGTTTACACGGAGTGAGGTCCAAAAAGCCTTCCCGTGCCGCAGGGCCTTATCGCCCGCTCCTCTGCTCCCCCCGGACCTATATAAGGGGAGCCGCGGGCCGGCTCCCGGCGGGAGGGACACGGGAGGCACCAAGAGCCAGGTGAGGGACGGGGACACCTTGTGCCTGGTTTGGCTTTGTGCAGCCGGAGGAGCTGGGTGTGAGTTCAAAGGTGCACAACGGCAGGGTTACAGGGGACCCCAGGTATTATGGGGGGCCCCAGGTGTTTATAGGGGGACCCCAAGTGTTATGGGAGACCCCAGGTGTTATGGGGTGTGAAGCAGAGCCACCACCCTGTGAGCACTTGGCAGAGCAGCCTCTCCCATCTCTCCCGCAGCCCAGCAGAGCCCGGCCCAGCAGACCATGCTGCTGAAGGCTGTGCTGCTCCTCTCCCTCCTGGCTGCCTTCCCAGGTGGGTGTGGGCACAGGGGCGGGGGGGGGCAGCACCACGGACACCCCACTCATGCCACCCTCCCACCCTCAGTGTCACCGGCCCAGGCGGGGCAGGGCAGCTTCTGGGAATACCTGAGCCAGCTGACGGGGGACAAGGACAGCCTGGAGCATGGCCATGGCAAGCTGGGCAAGGACATCACGTGAGTACAGTGCCCAGGGTCCCCCAGCACAGCTAGGGCCCTGCTTCTCTGCCCCGGGGGCACAGAAGCTCACAGGAAGGCCCTCGTGGGTGTTGGTGTTTATTAGGGGGCAGTGTGGGCACAGAGGGGTGCTGGGGTCAGTCAGGGGTGCTTGGTGACTGTCTCCTGCAGGAACCTGAAGGAGAGCATTCAGGATGGAGTCGGCTACGTGGGAGACTTCCTGGGGAAGCTGTCACCCCTCCCCAGGGGCCCCCAGCCCCAGCTGTCCCAGGACTCGGACAGCCTGCGGAAGGTCATCCGGAGGGAGCTGGAGAGCCTGCGGGTGAAGCTGTCCCCGTACGTGGACGAGGTGCACCACCAGGTCGGGAAGCACCTGGACGACCTGCGGCACCAGCTGCAGCCCTTCACGGAGGAGCTGCTGGACGAGGTGTCCCTGCGGGCGCGGGAGCTCCGGCGGCAGCTGCTGCCGAGCCGGGAGGTGACGGCGCAGCTCCTGGAAGGTGCTGGTGAGCTCCAGCGCTTCATGGCCCACTACGCCGACAAGATCGCCTTCCACACGGACCAGGTGAAGGACATCTTCCACCCGTACGCCGACAGGCTGGTCACCGAGATCCACCGCAACGTGCAGGAGCTGCACCGCTCCGTGGCCCCGCACGCCCGCGCCACCCCGGAGCAGCTCAACCAGCACATCCAGGAGCTGTCGGCCAAGCTGACCCGCAACGCGCGGGACCTGCACCAGCAGATCCAGAGGAACCTGGAGCAGCTGAAGGCGAAGCTGAGCCTGTGCCCCGAGAGCCTCGGGGAGCCCCCGGCCCCCCCCGGCCAATACCGGGAGGCGCTGGCTCGGGAGGTGCAGCGGCGGGTGGAGGAGTTCCGGCGGGACACCTACGTCCAGATCCAGGCCTTCACGCGGGCGCTGGACCAGGAGACGGAGGAGATGCGGCTGAAGCTCAGCGCCCGCCCCGACCCGCCGGAGGAGCCGCGGGACGCGCCGCCGCCGCCCGTGGAGGACCTGCGGGCGCAGCTGGACGCGCTGTGGAGGGACCTGGCGCTCAGCCTGGGCGGGGAGGCGGGCGGGGAGCGATGATGGGCGGGGGTCACGGGCCTTGGTCCGGGGATGAACCGCAATAAAGGCGCCGCCATCGTGGCCATGGGAGCACGTGTCACATGACCGCCCGGGGCACGTGACCGCCCTGGACACGTGACCGCCCCCGCCACGTGACGGCGGGCGGGCATCGCCATGTCGGCGCTGGGGGCGATGGAAACGGGACCGGGCTCGGGGGGCTCCCTGTTCCGGCCCCTCAGCGCCGACGACGGCGAGCAGCCGGCGGAGATCGAGTCCCTCTGCATGAACTGCTTCCGCAACGTGAGGGAGCGGGGAGAGCCGGGGCTGGGCCCCATGGGGGTCTGCGGGGGTCGGGGTGTGCAGGGCCGTGCAGGGGTCCGGGGTGTACCGGGATCTGCGGGGGAGCAGGACGGGGTGTGCAGGGGTCCGGGGGTGTACAGGAGTCTGCGGGAGTCGGGGTGGGAGCAGGACAGGGGTTGGCGGGTGGGGGACACAGGGGGCTGCAGGGATGTGGGTCTCAGTACAGGGGTCTGCAGGAGCAAGGGAGGATCCACTGGGGGCCGCAGCTGGGGCGGGGGGCACTGGTGGGATGTGGAGGGAGGTGGGCAGGGGCTGCTGGGGGGGGGAGAGGTTTGGGATCAGGGAGCTGCCCACGCTGGGAGGGGCTGACAGGGATGTGGGGCCTGCGGAACGCTGCCCTGAGGGTTCGGGTTCCCACGACAGGGAGTGACGCGGCTCCTGCTCACCAGGATCCCCTTCTTCAAAGAGATCATCGTCAGCTCCTTCTCCTGCGACAGCTGCTCCTGGTCCAACACAGAGATCCAGTCAGCGGGCAGGATCCAGGAGCAGGGCGTGCGCTACACCCTGGCTGTCACCTCACGCCAGGTGAAGGGCACGGGGGGCTGCCCTATGCACACCTTTGTCCCTCACGGGCTGGGCTGGCTCCAGCCACAAAGTGTTTATCTTCCGTGCTGTTTGGCAAATAGCTTTATTTGTTTGGCAGTAACTGTTCCAAGCACAAAATGTGCACGTTCCCAGTGGAGAGGGGGCTGGAGCCAATGCTGCTGCACAGCCCAGTGTGGGAGCCCCTGGATCTGCTGGGGATCCTAATGCTGCTCCCCAACTGTGTATACAGGACATGAACAGGGAGGTGGTGAAGACTGACTGTGCCATGGCTCAAATTCCAGAGCTGGACTTTGAGATCCCTGCCTTCTCCCAGAAGGGAGGTGGGTGACGTGCCCCCCAGCTCAGAGCAGTTTGGAGGGGGGGCTGTGGTGTGTGAATGGTGCCATCACCTCTGTTTTCTTCCCCTCTCCAGTCCTCACCACCATCGAGGGGATCATTGACAGAGCTGTGGCAGGCCTGGAGCAGGACCAGCCCATGCGCAGGGTGAGGTGCTGGGAAAGGGGGAGCTCCTCAGGGATGGCAAATCCGTGGGTTGATCATCCCCTGCCCGCTGGTGTTGTGCAGGGGTGGTGGGGGAGAGCACTGGGGGCTCTTGTGCCAGGATCACCTTTGCCATCAGCTCTGGGCAGCCCCTGCAGCAGTTGGACTCGGTGATCTTGGAGGTCTTCTCCAACCTAAGTGATTCCGTGTCATCCTGCAGGCGACAGACGAAGAGGTGGCCAGGAAAATAGACGAGTTCATTGGAAAACTGAGGCAGCTGAAAGAAATGAACTCCCCCTTCACCTTTGTGAGTGCACACAGGAGGGAGGCCCTGTTTGGCACGGGGAGTGCAGGATGGCTCCCTCAGGCTCCCTTTTCCCGCAGATCATCGATGATCCCTCAGGGAACAGCTTTGTGGAGAACCCCCACGCGCCGCGGCGGGACGACGCCCTTGTGGTCACCCACTACAGGAGGACCCCCCAGCAGGCTGCTATGCTGGGACTGGAGGTGACTGGGGGCTGCTGGGCCATGTGCTCTCAGCCTGGGGAGCAGGGCTGATGAATCCCTTGTTCCCTGGGAGTCCTCAAATTAGGGAACCTGCTTCTCTTGCAGGGGGAGGAGGTGGATGCGAAGCCGCCTGACGCTGCAGAGGATCTGAGGGACGAGGTGGGTGATGTTGCAGTGCAGAGGTGACACCCAGGAGAGGTGTTCTGGGCTGACTGGGACATCCTGACCCCTCTTTTCCTTGCCCTGCCCCAGGTCCTGCAGTTCAACACCAACTGCCCTGAGTGCAACGCTCCGGCCAACACCAACATGAAGGTGGTGCGTATCCTTTGAGGGGGGTGGGTGTGGGTGGGGGTCTGCAGGGTGGTGGGGTGAGGTGAGGGTCCCTGTGCTGACCCTGGGCTCTTCCTGCTGCACCTGGATGGATTCTCTAGTGGAGCCTGCCAGGGTGCAGAGCTGTCTCAGGGCCGCTCACAGCGAGCTCCTGCAGTACCTCGGGAAGGACCGAGGCTGCTGCCTTGAGGTTTTCCTTGACTGTCTGCTCCAGAAATCCCACACTTCAAGGAAGTGATTATCATGGCCACAAACTGCGACTCCTGTGGGCACAGGACGAATGAGGTGAGCTGGAAAAGTGCTGACCTCTTTTTTTTTTTTTTTGGGGGGGGGGGGTGGGTGCCTTTGTCCCTGAGCTCTGCTTCCCAGGGTGGTGGTTTGGAGCCAGGCTGGGAGGGAGGCTGGATTTGGGGGCGGTGTCAGGAGGTGCTTTATGCTGGGTGTTGAGGCTCTGTCCCAGGTTTGGGGTTGACTTCAGGCACTGTACCAGGTTTCCAGTGGCCTCTGGGCTGCTCTTAAAGCACCGTGGTGTGATTTGAGTGTGAATTCCATGGAGCTGACTGCCAGCTGTTCCTAGGTGAAGTCTGGAGGAGCGATTGAACCACAAGGCACCAGGATTACCCTCCGGATTACAGACCCTTCTGACATGACAAGGGACATCCTGAAGGTACACTACCCTTGGATACCTGCCCTGTCCTCCTCTGGAGGCTGTGGGGAGTCCAGGGGGGCCCGGCCATCCCTCCATGGGGACTCACAGGGTGTTCACTGTCACAGTCCGAGACATGCAGTGTGGAGATCCCGGAGCTGGAGTTTGAGCTGGGGATGGGAGCGCTGGGGGGGAAGTTCACCACGCTGGAGGGGCTGCTGAAGGACATCCGTGACCTGGTGAGTGTGCTGTGCCAGCCTGGTGGGGCTCAGCCCCCTCTGTGCCCCTGTTTGGGCTGGCCCTGGTTCTGGCTGCCTCACAGGTGCTCACCTGCCCTTCCAGGTGGAGAGGAACCCCTTCACCCTGGGGGACAGCTCCACGCCCAGCAGGACGGGGAAGCTGCAGGAGTTCATTGGGAAGCTGCAGGAGGTGAGTGTGCTCTGGATTCCCATCCTCTGCCAGAAGTGCTGAAGGATTAGGAAGAGCCTTGATGGCTGGACCTGCTCTATTCCTGCAGATCATAGACGGGAAGAACAAGGCTCACTTCATCATGGATGACCCTGCAGGCAACAGCTACCTCCAGGTACAGCCCTGGGCCCCTGGTGTGGGCTCTTCTGATTTCCTCTGGGGGTTCTTGGGGGCAGGGTGCCCCAGCCTTTGGAAAGAGGGCAGTGCAGGAGGTTTTCCCCTCTCCCCACAGAACGTGTACGCCCCGGAGGAGGACCCGGAGCTGAGGGTGGAGCGCTACGAGCGCACGTTCGAGCAGAACGAGGACCTGGGGCTGAACGACATGAAGACGGAGGGCTACGAGCCTGAGGGCGCCTCGGGCCGGTAGCAGGGGGCGCTGGACCCCTCCGGCCCCTTTCCCAGCCGCTCCGGGGACCAGGACTTGATCTGGGGCCAGGACTCTTCTCCCCTTCCTGGGAGTCAGGGGAGCTGCTCCAGGCTGAAGGCAGCGGAGCTGGGCCTCGGGGCCTCCCTGCGGGAGGTGTTATGTTGATGGGGGGGACGGGGGACCGGAAATCGGGGCCGCGACCCCCAAATAAAGGCGTTTGGATAAAGATACACGGACAAAATGAGGCGCCGCGTCCCGCCGCTGCCCCGCGCGTGCTCCATTCACAACGCTGGGCGCGGCCTGGCCACGCCCACGGCCCCATTCATAGCTCCGCCCACGGCTCCGATCGCGGTCTGGCCACGCCCCCTCCGCGCCTTTACTGGCCGTTGCCCGTCCGGCCACGCCCAATCGCAGCTCTATCTATGGCCGCTCTGCGCTCCGGCCACGCCCACACGGCAGACGTAGTGTGGCCCCGCCCCTTCCTGCCGGCGCGGCGGTTGCGCGTCAGCGGCCGCGATGGCGGCGCCGGGGGTGTCCAAGGCCGAGTACCTGCAGCGGTACCTGAGCGGCCCCGCCGCGCCCGCCCAGCCCCGCCGCCGCCGCAAGAAGAGACCGCCGGGCGGCACCGGCAGGGCCGGGTGAGTCGCGGGGGGAAAGGGGGCGGCGAGGCCTGCGGCGGGCCCGGGTTCCGCGGTGCCCCAAAATCTCCCCAGAACCCCGCCCTGAGCTCCCCTCCCGGGGCCGGGACGCTCCTGACGGTCTCCCCGCCCGCAGGATGCGGATCGTGGATGACGACGTGAGCTGGAACAGCATCGCCGCCGCCCCGCAGAAGGAGGAGGAGGAGGACGATGAAGCGGACATGCCTGTGGTGAGCCGGCGGTTTCAGACGCCAAATCCCTTCTCCTCCTGTTTCCCTGGGTGGGATTCCTGCTCGGAGCCCTGGAGAGCTGTGTGAGCTCAAAGGAGCCTGTTCTTTATGGCTCTGTGTTTTCCAAGAGCACAGCAGTTCTGAGCATCACAACAGCTGCTGGAACAAGGCAGGAGGAACTGGGCTGGCTGGTGGCTGCTGCAGTGTAGCTCAGGCTGGAAACCTTGGCAGTGAAGGGAGAAACGTTGAAGAAAAAGGCTTTGGAAAATTGTTTTGAGATTTTTCCCTGGGAAGGCAGCTAAAGGATGGTCACACATCAGTGTCCATCAGCAGTTCTGCTGAATAAGTTGTGTTGGAGGGTGGGAATCCTGCTTCTTTTTTCCTTCACAGCCCTCTTGTTTACCGTGGTGATGTGTTTCCAGGTGGCAGAGTTCATTGATGAACGTCCTGATGAGGTGAAGCTTATGGAGGAATTCCGAACAAACTCCAAGTGG